GGAATCGAAAGTGAAAGAATCTAAATCTGTAATCTGAACAGCAGCTCGACTCGTGGGGAGTTTACATTTCCTGTAGTATGCAAATATGTTGATTTATTGATAATATAAGCAATGACAGACATATATTAAGTTTGTTTTTTTATGTTTTTAATGCATTTGTGTTTTAGGAAGCATTCTTTGCGCAGTTGCGCTGTGATCTGCAATCAGAAATAGCCTAGTGAAGATGGCGACGGGACCAAAACCACCGCCTGGTAAGAGAATCCTGCAACATTACGGAGCTCTTATGGCGACATGGTTATGGGGGAAATCATGAAATGAGAGGAAAAATTAATTTCAATGCTTTTGATCGTTCGTTCTCAAAACATACGTTTTTTCTATGAAATATAATAGAGAACAAATGCATGCATTTTTGTCTTTTTTCCCCACAATAACATCCATTTATCGACGGTACTTCTGCTTTATATTTCATATTCCATTTCCCAACCATTCAGCATTAAACGTATCAACGTCGTAACAAGAACTGACCTTATTTCAACGTTGAAGTTCACTCATATATTCTACCATAAACGTACATTTCCACTTGTAAATATCTTATTCTTAAATCTGACCGTGGACATGTTAATCTATATGAAACACATATCATGCCATCTCAGCATGTTTGTATGATTGAAATAAATACATTTTTATAGCATTTCACCCCTAAAATGTCAGGCCCTGTCACAGTATATGTTAGAATGGTTTCCTAATGAATTTCTTTGATACAAATAGCATTTTCTTATTGGTCACATGTCCCTGATCGTATCTAACATGGTTTTGTAATTTCTATAAGGAATATAAGCAACTTTTCGGTCAACTGTAGTACAATAAATCACAGAATACCCCGCCAGGCACTCATATAGTTGTAAAAAAACTGCCTTTACATAGTAGTGGATATATACTCCAACCTTCATCTACACAGTTACAGAGATTAATTCATCAATATTTCCTCAAATATTACATTTTTATAACATAATTTCCTGTGTGACAGGACTGACCGAGACGTGACAGGACTGACTTTATGGATCTCGTTGATGCAGAAAAAGTTATGTTTTGTGATCTTTATTTAAGTTTTGATAAGCATTCCTATTTTAAATTATTATTATAATTTTAATGTTAATGTAATATTAGACTATGGTAAAGTTCAGCCAAGGACATATAATATAATTTATTTCAATATAAAAACATATTTCATTTAACAATTTATTAAAATTCCATTTAACAATAACATGAACAGATACAATAAAAAATAAACAACTAGAATTGCACAATGGCACAAACTCAGACAGGAGTGAAAACAATAACCCTGTGTTGTGCTACGTGTACGCGGGTGTAATAAATATAAATATAACTTCATAATATATAAAGTATATTTTACTATGATACAGCAAATGTATAGACATTTAACTGAATAGCACAAAGTAAAGTAACTGTGGTACCACATAATATTACGGCTCAGTAATAACAGGGCAATACTATGGTAATATCTGCATTATTACTTAGGAAATTACATGGTAATAACGGAAATTGCATGTAATTTTCTAGGTAATAATGTAGATATTACCATGGTAGCTGTATGAATTGAAATAATTACAGTCATCATTACTCAAAGCTTATATAGATGACAATTACATCTATATATGAAGAGTTTATTTGCAAAAACAGATAACTCTAAAATAAAAATGTTCAAAAATCATGTTTTTTTATTATGTAATCATGTTTTTATTGTGCTTTATTGTGTTAGTTAGCTGTAATTATTAGTTATTTTTTCTATATGAAACACATATCATGCCATCTCAGCATGTTTGTATGATTGAAATAAATACATTTTTATAGCATTTCACCCCTAAAATGTCAGGCCCTGTCACAGTATATGTTAGAATGGTTTCCTAATGAATTTCTTTGATACAAATAGCATTTTCTTATTGGTCACATGTCCCTGATCGTATCTAACATGGTTTTGTAATTTCTATAAGGAATATAAGCAACTTTTCGGTCAACTGTAGTAAAAATAAAAATGTTCAAAAATCATGTTTTTTTATTATGTAATCATGTTTTTATTGTGCTTTATTGTGTTAGTTAGCTGTAATTATTAGTTATTTTTTAACCTAATCAAAATAACCCAATTAAAGTTTGATTGAGATTAATTGGAATGCACAATGAAAAAACATGATTTCAGAGAATTGCTAAAAATGTAGTTATCTGTTTTTGCAAATAAACTCTTCATATGTATTGAAATATAATCAATATACAAAGTGCAGTGCTACATAGGCCTAGGTAAAGCTTCTGATTTACAGTGTAATGTCTATTTATTCATATTAAATACATATTATATGCAATAAAGGTAATAAAAAACAACAACGCCATTCATTTGTAAGGCAGTGTCACAGGACTGTCACAGGGATGTGACGGGGCCTGACGGTCGGCCATTCAGCCTGCTAGCATGCTAGCATAAAAACTGTTAACATGCAATCAAGGAATTCAGTAACGTTTTTAGACATGTTTTGGATTTAAAAGATTTTCATTATTTTCTGGGATGTTTTACCGTGACAGGGCCTGACCTTTTAGCTCGTCCTCCTCAAAAAAATCATACAAAAACAAGCTTAAAATCATACAATTCAATAACAGAACTCACGCTTGATCAGTAATTCATCAATATTTCCTCAAATATTACATTTTTATAACATAATTTCCTGTGTGACAGGACTGACCGAGACGTGACAGGACTGACTTTATGGATCTCGTTGATGCAGAAAAAGTTATGTTTTGTGATCTTTATTTAAGTTTTGATAAGCATTCCTATTTTAAATTATTATTATAATTTTAAAACAGAACTCACGCTTGATCAGTGTCCGCTTCACCTCAGTCAAGTTATGTCACCTCCTTTGAGTCATACCTTTAAAGGCACATTACACACATTTTATGTTGAGTTTTATGTAAACGTGACAGGACTGACCGAAAACATGGGGACAGTTGTAAAATAGAATTTATTTGTAGAACTTATGTATAATTTCATGTTTTTAATCAGTTGATGTGAATGATAACAACTTAAACTTGTTATTGATGGACAATAATTTTAATGTCAAACAAATGTCACGTTATACACAAACCATCGGTCTGAGAAAATCAACCTCTCTTCAAAATGATTATTTCTAAAAACAAATTTTATATATTTGTCAAGCCATCATTTCAGAAGTGAGGGGGACAGAAATGTAAAAAAAGAAAAATGTATTCCTGACTTTTGTCTAATTGACAGCCTTTATTTTTCTTATCTCTTTTAATTGGCTAAGAAATTCAAATACATTCAAGTACACTGCTGGACAATAACCAATAATTTGTATTCTATAGTATTTTTTCTTAAATTTTCCTAATGACAATTTTAGGATTGGTTTATACAAACACATAATAAGGCAGAATAGTTTCTATACTGTAATAAATGTTATGTCAATTAGCATTGCAGTATAGTGTAATGTCTTTTCCCATATTAGGCATTTCCTGGAACATCATGAGTTATTACTTCTATGAGTCAGTTTTGGAATTTCTGAGCAAGAGCGCCCTCCGGCTTCGAGTATGAATGAAACATAGTGTTTAGCTCTGTAATGTTAACATCGTCTCATTTTGGATATGAATAATTTGTTGGGTCATACATAGACTATTTTGTTTTTTTGTGTTAAAATCTAGATTTATTCACACTGGCCCTGGCTAACTCTATATGAACGCACTTGCCCGAAAAAAAGTGCGGGGGATGAATTTACGTTTTATTAAAAGTGGAAGGGACATGTCCCCCACATATTGCATGCCCACGTACACAGATACATACATACAATTTGAAAACATAACAACTAAACGTCTATGAAATGTCAGTCAATAAAGCACTTTTTAAACAATAGCATTTAAAAACTGAACTAAAAGGCTGTTGCAACCATTTATTAATTATTTAAATAACTTAAAATTTACTGTAAATACACAGGCTGCATCCTTTGCCTTCAAAATGTTTTCTGACGGAGTTGCCCCCAATTAGGAAACTTGGACCTTAAACAAAATACTAGTAACAACTTTACGGTGCACTGTAAAAAATTTCAAGCCGTTTCAACTAATTATTATTTAGTAACTAGTTCCACAGAAATTTTACGTTCAGTAAAATTCTGTCTTCGAAGTGTTGCCTGAATTGTTATTTCTTAGTTGGCTCAACCTTTACTGAACTAGTTTTAAAGTCCATTCAACTAAAATATTTTAATTGGTCAAACATTTAGAAAACTACAGCAAATTAGGTAAATTAAAATGTAACCATTCACTCCACGTGTTTCATATGTTACCTCAACTAACATTTATTATTTGGGCATCATAATAAATTGCTGTGGAACTAATTATATTTTATACTGCGTTATACTGAGGAAAATTATTAACTGGTGTCTATCAATCACTAAAAACACACACATTACAACACATAATAGCCTTTATTTAATAACAATCTGCATTTATAACATTTGTCATACAGACTAAACGTGCAGGCTTAAAGGGATAGTTCACCCAAAAATGAAAATTTGCTGTTAATTGACTCACCCTCAAGCAATCCAAGATGCAGTTAACTTTTTTTCTTCAATTGAACAGTAAAGTAAATTTGTAGGTGAAACCTTTGTCTTTGGCCATTCATAAACTGCACGTCTCTGGCTGCCGGCTTTTGAGAGTCAAATAAACATATACAGACCAGACCAAATTACCAAAAGCTCCTGAGGACACATTGAAGCGAAACAATCAAAAACCGGCAGCCACCGACGTGCAGTATATGAATCGCCAAGGATCACCGTTTCAGATAAAAATCTTCTTTACTGTTCTATTTAAAGAAAAAGTCACTGACATCTGGGATGACCTGAGGGTCAGTAAAATAACAGCAAATTTCCATTTTTGGGTGAACTATCCCCATAGGAAATATTTATTGCTCAGTGGTTGCTTTTCCTAAGCTCAGGAGACTTAGATGAGATTCTCATATATCTCTCGTTTTAGTACCAACAGCATTTCAGATGTTTCTCCTAAAATTCCTTAGGAGAAATGAAAGTAGACACAAATGAGACATGATAAATATTTGAGGAAAAAAAAGTCAAAACAGAGAATATGGTGGAAGAAACAGAGAATATATCTTTATTGCCTTGCTGCAATCTCTATCAAGACTCCATTATAGGAATATTTTATTGCTCAGTGATTGCTCTTTCTAACC